TCGCCCATCCCATGAAGGAAGAGTAAGGGCCAATTTCACCAAGTCCGGTTAGATTAACTGCCGTAGAGTTAGCAGAGAAATTAAATATTTTCTAATTATTTTATATTATATAATTTGGGAATCGTTTGGGGAAGTTTAGGAAAATCATTTTAACATTTAGGAAACAATATTTTCTTTGTAATAATGAAAATTTATCGAGCGTCAAGTTAGCAGGTCTTAATTATGTTTAATAAATATTATGAACGGAATCGATTAGAAATCATTTGGGAATAACATATTCATTAATATTTTTATTTGGGAAAGTCGCATTTTTGTAATTTAAATAAATTTGTGTATTCAAAAATCTGCATTATGCGTTATGCACGCGGCATAAAGAATTCAACCAATCAGAGTCCTTTATTTCTAAAATGAAAGACTCAATAAAATATTTTCATGTGATGCTAACTCTACGGCGGTCTTGGTTTTCCTTCACCTCTATTTTCTATTGGCCACCCTGCTAATTTTAACCGTCGGTTCATCTAACCGGACTGGTGAAAATGGCCCTTATTGGCAGAGACGATGAAATGACGTCATTAATCGCTCTCAAAGCGATTAAACTGCTATATTCGAAAACGCTATACATTATGTAAGGTTATGTACGTACGATAATTAACGGGATGATATTACATCGATGAAACATATTACACCTGTGCGTAATGCGCGACGAACGAATTTTGATAAACGAATTTCGGTAGGCGATATTAACCGGTAAATCGTATATATACCTTTCGATGTCGCACATTCATGTTTTGTTCGGATGTGCACAACGATGGATAATCGAGATCTTCTTTTTTTTCTTCGAATTTTTATTGGCACCGGATATAACCAAGAACGAGCACGTGAAAATAAATCAATAAAAGATGGTGTGAGAAAGATTACGCGAAACCCATCGGAAACTACAGCAAACTAATGGAATCAATGGAATTATTGTACATGTATACGACGCAGCTGGTGTCGCTAGTTTATATGCATGAAGATGCGTGTGCTCGATGTCGATTGGTATGGGTGTGCGCGTGTCGTTCATTATGGGTGCGTTCGGGGAGACGCTATTAGCGCTAACAGCGTCGTTCTATCTTTGTTACTTATTGAAAGTTGAACAAGGACAGAACACGCTTATAGCGCTAAAAGTGTGCTCCCCGAACGCAGCCTATGACATGGCAACATTAGACTCGATAACGCATGAAACTTGTTCAAAGTGCTTTGCAACTGATGACGTTTCTCGTTGTCGGCGATGGTACAAAGGTGAATATAGAAAGAGTTCCTAAAGTGACTAGCTATATATTTTGATAAAAAATTAGAAGTATTATAAAAAATTGTTATACACTGGCATAATGGTATGTCCATTGTTATACAAATTCATGTATTTATAAAAGTTCTATTACTTTACACGATTTTTTGTTAATTTTTTAAATTTCCTTTTCAAAGTCATATCATTGCATGATGATATGATTGGTGGTATGATTTTCACAAAATGGATAGTCGCTTTAGGAACACCCGGTACATTCTGAGAAATAAATGACTGCGTATACGCATCACGTGATCGCACTGAGAATAAAAGGCTTAGTTAGTACGAGACTACGTAATTTATACTATACTAGCAGACTGATTAGGCTGTAAACGAAATTTATTGTTATAAAAGCTTGGCCTGATAATGATTTCTCTATTTCAGTTCTCTTTACATGTTCAAAATTCTAACATTATATGCAGTTATACTTATTCGTATACTCGTCGCGAGAAATTAAAAAGTCATAATCGCCTAATCATTCAATTATGCAATGCAATTAGATAATGCATTACAACGAATTTATAAGGATGAGCTGCTGTTACTACTAGTAAAATAGTGGATATATTAAATTATTCGTCGCATTTGTGTTGTGGAAACAATATATATTTGCGTTTGTTTTGATATCTGTTTATTTACTGAACGTAAGTAAATCCATAGATATATGTAATAGAACCGCGTTATATAATATATATTTTTACTTACAATATTATATTTCTGGGAATATGTTAACACAATCGATTGCAATGCGATCATAAGGAAAGATATACATATATATATATACAATTGATATTAAACAAAATGCAACAAAATATATTTATGTATATGCAGCTGTGTGTTATTTAAACGTATATAATAACATATTTAATATCAGACATTTTTTTATATTTGCTAAATTTTCTGTTTTTAAGACTGTTAAAGAAAATCTTTTTATGTAATGTTCTTGAAAAAAGTTTTTTTTTATTGAGATAATAATATTCAAAATTATTATACATTTATTGATATCGAAATAGTGATATCAAATCGAAATTATATCATTTTCGTTATATTTCAACAATACTTATACAAAACTACTATTATACAAAAAAAGTTTAAAAAACGGAAATTGTGTGTCTATTATGGACGTATTTTTAAGTAAAATCTATACAAAATTTATATAAAATATGAAAAAGTATCAATCATTGTATCAAAAATTATATACATATAATTCTTTTCTATATTAAAAAATAGATCCTAATTCAACAAACATTTTAGTTTTATGTATTTTAGTGTTCTCTACATTTTTCTCATACACAGTATGCTGGACGATGCCATAAACTTATCAAAATAAGATTTTAGTAGTAAAAGTAGAAAAGTTTTACAAAACTGTGTGCATATATCAGTACTAAATTAATTTTTTCATGTTTCACTGGCAAAATTAGTGCATTTTATTTGATCTATCAAAATAAATAATAAGAATAAGTAATATAAAAAAAGAAACTCTGGAATATTATTATATACAAGAATTAAAAACTGTAAATATTATTATTTTTTATATGGCATAGAACCTCATACTATTAATAATTTTATAGTTCAATAATTTAAAAACAAAGAAAATTAAATTACATTATTTATTTTTAGATACAACATACATATTTATATCAAGCAAATGATATAATATCCAGTATATTTTGCATTATATTGATGCAAATAATTTTTTGATTATTCTCTTTATATATTTTATGTTAATGAAACAATTTTTTTAATGAGATTACGAAAATGGTGTATTACACCAAAGATAATATTTTAAAAGAAGCTGTTATCCAAATATGTGCTGGAGGATCAGCAGGTTTTATTGAGGTTTGCATAATGCATCCAATGGATCTTATTAAAACACGTTTTCAGCTTCAAGTGAAGACAGCAAAGATAGATCCATTGTATTATACAGGTATTATTATTATTATTATTATATATATGTGTGTGTGTATCTTTATGTTATTGTATATATATCTTTACTTATATTGATATATTAATATTTATAAACATTATTATATCCAATGTAAAGACATTTATATTAAATCACACATGCATTAGCTCTATGTACACATACATATGTATATAGACATATGTATATACACATATACATATATATTTAATATATTTAATATATACATATTAATATAGGAATTTGTGACTGTATGACTAAAATGTATAAGACTGAAGGATTACCGGCATTTTGGAAGGGAATTTTACCCCCGATAATTGTAGAAACTCCCAAACGCGCAGTTAAAGTGAGTTCATCTCTCTCGTTTAAAAGTACGTTTTGTTTTATTTGTGTATAAAAATTACAACTTTTTTTAGTTCTGTACATTTGAGCAATATAAACAATTTTTTTTATTCGGCGCCAATGCACCTACTCCATTGGTAATTATTTGAATACTACTTATATTTATATTATATATTACTATTTATATTTGAATATTATTTGTTATTAATATATACAATTTTTTAATTACTTGTAAGATAAACAAATTTATATCATTACAGACATTTTCATGCGCTGGTTTCTTGGCTGGTGCTACAGAGGCTATATTAGTCAATCCTTTTGAGGTGATCAAAGTAAAACTACAATCTAATCGAAAGCATATCAAAGAAAGCCCATCAACTTTTGTAATGACGAAAGAAATAATTTCAAAATATGGTTTTGGTTTAAATGGTCTGAACAAGGGGCTTTCAGCCACTATAATGAGGAATGCGGTGTTTAATTCATTTTATTTCGGTTTTTATCATTCTGTTAAAGAATGTGTACTAGTTAAAAAAGAACCTTGGTTGGAATTTTTTACTAAGGTAATCATCCAGACACAATAAATATATGCAGTCTGTCATATACATGAAAAATTTTTTAGTTTATTATAGGATTTGTATCAGGCAGTATTGCTTCCTGTTTAAACATACCATTTGATGTTGCCAAAAGTCGCATTCAGGGATCACAAGATGGCACAAAGTATAAAGGAACATTAAATACCATGTACATTATTTACAAGAGAGAAGGGTATTTATGCATGCAATTTACTTACTGCTAAAATTGTTTAAAAAATTTCACTTATTTTCATATATATACATTACATCATTTTTTTCTAGATTCATAGCATTATACAAAGGCCTAGTACCAAAAGTATTACGATTAGGTCCAGGTGGTGCTATTATGCTTGTAGTGTATGACTACATGCATGCATTTCTTACAAAAAAGTTCAAAGATTAATTTTTATATATTTTGAAAAGTTATGAGATAACTATAAATTATTCTCTAAGAAGATGCATTTGATATACATGCACATATAGAAAATAAGGAGTCATATAATTTCATATTCTGTGTGTTAAAAATAAATTTTCTTTTATAATAGTTTTAATTTATTTGTCTTCTTTCCTCTTTTTTTATATAATAATAATCTTAATAATCTTTATATTTCAACACAATATAGAAAAATAATTAATCATCCAAGACAGTATCTAGCCATTTTTCTAAATCAATTGGTTTAATTTGAGTACTTTTTGGCTTTGCTTTGGAATCTGTAATAAATCAATATTTTATATTTCAAAAATAAGAGCTGAAAATCAATTATAATATAAATGCAATGCTACTTATTTAATTTACAATTTTACCGTTATGAGATATAAAAATAAGCTGTGCTGGAGAAATTGTTGGATTACTCTGGACTGGTTCTTTTAAAGATAATAAAAAATCTATGTCTTCTAAATTATCAATACCATCTTCTGATGGGGATTTTGTGTTTGTTGTCAACTCCAAATTTTTCGATTGATCGATCTTCGTATTCTCGTTCATCTCATTTTTCGAATATACAATATTTGATGAACTCGACACATTTGGGTAAAAAATTGTATTATATGTGGCTTTTCCTTTCTCAGCATCATTATTTATATTCGTCAATTGATCGCTCTAAGAGTGATCGTATAAATCATTGAATCATTTCCAATCATTCGTTCAATCAAGAAAATTATTTGCCAAATTAAAGAGAAACTTGATAGACCAGCTATGTCAAAAATTAATAAATTTAATACATTTTGAGGTTCATGAATTTGATATTGCGCACAAAGTACTTTGAGTCTTTTAAAATATAAAATTAATAATTAATTTGAGAATTAAAGCAAAGATTTGTTCTGTAAAATATAATATAATCTCAAAGTCGTAAATATTATCTTGTATCGGACTAACTTTTTTATACTGATTATATCACGAAAATTTGATATACTGAAATAAAGCGCAAAAGTTCATGAAGATAAAAATTTTCATTCTGTGCAAATTTTTACTTTAACTTACTGTCGAATTCATGAATTTTGAAATGTATTAAATTTATTAACTTTTGATATAGTTAATCCATCTATTAAATATATATATATAATTATAGTTATTCCTTAAATATATATAACTCAGTACTTACTGTAAAATACCTGTCGTTTACGTTAATATATTCGTTAAATGGAATACAGTCGATCGCGATCGATAATGTTTTTAGGTTTAAGATGAAGAATTCCGAGTACTGTGACGAGTCGACGGACCAAGCTTTCTCTGATTTAAAGACGAAATGTCCATTTTTTGAAAGCGGCGCGTTTATGAGAGTACCAAAATCTTTGCCTACATCCCCATCGGTTAACATATCAACGTAATCGGCAGATGATGAAGATCGTGATTTATTTTTCTCTTTCGTCTTTTGCATTTTAAAAGATTTGTCCATACTTTTCGATCATGCACAGTGAGCTCTATAATACCAGAGAGAAGCATGAGAGCGGCCATCCCGGCGTTTTCCGTACGATATATGTAAAGAGCTAACGATGCCTCTACAGCTTTTTTGCGATTTACTGTGTTATTTGCATTGGATAAAGAATCGTGTACTGCGATTGTTCGTTGTCTTTGAGGATTGAATACCTCGCTAACTTTAACATGCTTTTCTCGATTTGCATGTTTGTCAATATCTGCCAGTCGAGCATTGAATTGCGATTTGCAGTAAAAACATGATGCTTTTGTTTCATCATTCTCAACACGTCGAAGCCATTGTTTGTATTTTGGATTCTCTATTCATACATTTCGAAATTTTTAGACATACGGGGTTTTTTTAACCTTCAGCACCTTTACCATTTTGTTTCTTCGCGTATATTGTATTCTCTTGGACCACTCACGGAATTCGCCTGGCAAACTCGATGTTCCGAAATTTACTCTAAATTCTAAAATATAATTATAATACATGTGCATACCCATTTATCGATAAATAACGATGTGCCCCATATGATGTTTTGAAGTGCGTTTGTCGTATTTTAAGGCCATTGCACGTGAAAAAATTTTAGTCGTAATCGTAAGGCCATAAGCAAATCGACCAATCACAATCAAGCATTATAACAAGGTAATAAGAATGTTTGACTGTGATTGGTCGATTTATTTACGGCCTTACAGTTGCAACTAAAATTTTTTTATGTGCGATGGCCTTTAGAGAGCACAAGTTCATATTTTAAAATGAAGATTAAACATAAACGTCGAAAATTCTCTGGTTAAAAACATGAGAACGGAATAAAAAACAAAATAGATGTTTGAAATACGTTTGAACGCATGTCACCAGAAATCACTGCATCAAAGTTCAAATGTCACCAGTTTAGGTACCGATCACAAATGAAAAAAATTGTCACTGGGAGAGTGATAGAAGGTACTAAATCTGGTGACAAAGTCACTGAGTTGGCAACGCTGGACGCGAGCAACATGCAACCGAGGTGGAGGGGATAACACACACAAGCGCAAACAGCGTACGTGAGCTCGGCGCTTCGGCTAGCTTCGGATAATAGAAGAGGACAGATGTACTGTTTTCTGTCTCTCTCCTTCCTACCGAGCCGGCAACAATACGGGCGACGAGCGACGAGCGACGGGCGACGGGCGATGTTGCTCGATTCTTGATGCATGACAGCGTTAAATGTTCTTTTTACAGCCTAACGACGAAATCAATGGCGCACAAATATTTTTGTTACTGTATATATTTCCGAGAAGAATAATCCAGAATGATCTAACGATTCTGTACTGCGCCCATAGACATAGGCTGCGGTCAGTGATGCCAGAATTGAGACGCGAGCAACATGCAACCGAGGTGGAGGGGATAACACACACAAGCGCAAACAGCGTACGCGTGAGCTCGGCGCTTCGGCTAGCTTCGGATAATAGAAGAGGACAGATGTACTGTTTTCTGTCTCTCTCCTTCCTACCGAGCCGGCAACAATACGGGCGACGAGCGACGAGCGACGGGCGACGGGCGATGTTGCTCGATTCTTGATGCATGACAGCGTTAAATGTTTTTTTTACAGCCTAATAATGTGTTATATATTGAATGTTTTCTTTCAACCTTCTTCTTTAATATGTTTTAAATTAAATGATTTTTTCATATAAAAGTATTCGAGTAAAATACTCGAAGATTGAACATAATATTAAACATTTCATATTCTACATATCGAGAAAAAAAATAATTTGATAGTAAAAAATGCTATTTTATTCGAGAAAACTATTTATTCGATGAATTTTAATAACGTTTTTGTTTATTGTTAAATCTTTAAGTTTCTCAGAAAAAATACAAGTCTTATTAAAATATCTAGTTTGAACATTCTAAATTTTTTAAAAAATAGATACTTACAAATAATTCTTCGACTTTTTGTTTGGAGGCTCGTCCCATGATTCTTCCACCACATAGGGTTCCTCATAGGGTTCGAGCCCGAATAATTTTCGTAGATCGAAAATATCCCAGTACATCCAAGACCAATTGACTGAATCGTACTCTCGAGCCTCCACAGTATCTCCCCATAATTCGTCCAATTCGTCTCGCGCGTTCCGTCGCACCATTCGTACATCTCGTCGATGTTCGAAATTTAAAAATCCGGGGATTTCTATGTCGCTCGTGGTATTGTACTATAAATCAAAATTATAATATATTATAATATACTATACTATACATAGTTAATGTAATATAAAATAAAAAATGCTACTTACTCTCTGGTATACTACTAGATTCAATAGGGCTTACATGTCGAACAAGAGGGCGAATCTATTTTTATCGAAATCTAAATTCAAA